GTACCTTCACCCCGGTACTTGCTGGCATAGAGTCTGTCAAGGACAGTCAGTCCTATCTCCCTGTCACTACTGTCTAGGGTGTTAGGACTCTGTGTGTGTGGTCATAGAACCGCGAGTTCAGTTCGGGTAGTGAACCAAATCCCCGAAGTAGAAGTAACCTGTTCGGTCTAAGTGTTGAGGTGTGGAATTGTTATTAATTGTGCGCTGTCAACATGGTGACCCTTAGATCCGGAACCGTTACCACCCCCTACAACAACGAGCAGGAGGAAAAAGCTGCCGCCCTTCTGCGTGAGAAGAAAGAGAAGATGGAGAAGAGGGAACTAATCAGACAGGCTAAGATGTTGGCGCTGCTGGAGGAGTAGGAAGCAAAGAAGAGGCAGATGGAGGAGATGGAAAGATGGAAGAAGGAGCAGGAGGAGAAGATGGCAGCTATTCAGGCGGAAGAAGAAGAAGAAGAAAAAGAAGAAGTGGAAGAAGAAGAAGAAAGACCGCTAGAGAGGAGAAGAGGAGGAGGAAGCACAAGTAAAGAAGCGGAGATTGCGGAAAGGGCGCAGGAGTGGGCCGCACGTTTGAAGTTAGGGGAAGACCAGGAGGCTGAGATGGCTGTACCCGAGGAAGAAAGAGAAGCAGCCAGGAGGCAAATTGAAGCAGAGAGGGATCCAGGAAGAAGAAGAAGAAAGACCGCTAGAGAGGAGAAGAGGAGGAGGAAGCACAATTAAAGAAGTGGAGATTGCGGAAAGGGCGCAGGAGTGGGCCGCACATTTGAAGTTAGGGGAAGACCAGGACGCTGAGATGGCTGTACCCGAGGAAGAAAGAGAAGCAGCCAGGAGGCAAATTGAAGCAGAGAGGGATCCAGTAAAGAGAGGGGCAAAGGAGGAGGAACAGCAAATGGCGTGGAGATACCGGTTATCCCAAGAAAGGGTCAGGAGATTGGAAGCGGCAGAGAGGGCGGACAAGGACCTAAGAGCGGTGGAAGTTAGGATGGGGAAGATCCGAGCGGAGACTGAGCTAGCAACCAAGCTAGATACGCTGATCCAAAGTGTAGAGGCTTTATTAGTCGCACAACGGGAACAAATGCAGTACGAACGCAGTCAAGACATCAAGATAGACGCGATACCCGCGGGGTTCAAGGACTTCGCGTGCGACAGGATGAAACACCTGCTGACCGAAGTGCACATTGCGATTAATAGGACCCGAGAGTTTTGTACTGGCGCCATTGAAGGCACCAAGCTAGCGGCCCCTAAGGAAGAGGAGCCGGCCCCACCACGTCGCGAGAAAGTCAAGGTCCGATTTCCCGAACCCTTCAGTGGCAAGAAGGGTGAAGATTTTGATAACTGGGAGGCCAATGTGCACTCCTATCTGTATCTGCAGGGAGTCACACCTGAAGACCACACTTTGGTGGCCTTCCAGGCCCTTAGAGACGAAGCAACTAGCTTTGCTAGGTCGCTAGCCCGCGCTGCCAACTGCGATAACGATATGGTTACATACTCCAGACTGACACCCCTCTCCGACTTCCTGAAAGCCCTCAGGGAGCGGTTTTCTGATGTCACGCGGGGCCTTAAGGCCTCAGATAAACTCCAAATGATCCACACTCGCCAGTGGAAGACTGTGCATGCGCTAAAGTTCGCTATGGACGAACTGATTGCGGTCCCTGGGCATGGAGTCATTGATGTGCAACTCCTTAACCTCTTCTACCGCGCTCTGCCTGAAAATATTCAGGGACACTTCTTCGAGAAGAAGAATCAGCAGGGCATGACTTACGATACACTTAGTCGGGAGGCAGTTGCATTTGCCGCCCAAGCGTCGCCAGTTACCACGTTCTGGCACAAGGATCTGTCTAAGGGAAAAACGTGGAAGGGACGCACCATCTCAGGCCAAATCAAGGCCAAAGATAATCTGATCTTAACGATGGAGGAAGGTGGTGCAGAGGAGGTTCCCTACTCTGACATCGAGTGGGGATTAAAGGAGGACAACAGCGCAGGCCAGGGGAGAACCTACGCTGCTGTCGCGGCTGGAGGGAGGCCGCAAGGAGGACAACGGTCCGGCCCAAGTGGTCGGGCCCAGGGTGGCCGAGGGCAGGGCGGCTAGGGGGTTGGCGGCTATGGCAACCGCCAAGCGGGAGGAAGGGGAGGTCCCCCGTCTAACCGTCCAAGTTCTAGTCGGTCACCTCCCAGACAAGGAAGGTGGCATCCAGGCCGGCCTGAAGGCCGACCTTGGTTAGACCTGGGTATAGATCAAAGGGTATGGCAAGAACGCATTAATAGTTCTCAATGCGTATTCTGCGGGGACCCGGGCCACATTATCAAATTTTGTCCTAAGTATAGGGTCCGTGCTGCATCTGGGGCAGCAAAAGACAGTCGTCGGTAGGGGTTGCAACTGCCCCTACCTCAGGAGTATGTGGATCTGAGCGTGCCAGCGAAGTAGAGTCTCCCACTCCACATATTTCCATGGCAGAGGTTGCAGGCCAGCGTCTAGTAAGCTGTCCAGAAATCGCTTGTGTTAGGGTCTGTTTAGGCGCTTCCCTCACAGGCTTAGCCGATGAACTGAGAGAGCGGAGGCAAGCCTGGGCCAAGATGAAGAAGGATAGTAAAGGACAGCTAATCCTCGCAGATGTAGAGATATTTAGAGCTAGAGTAGGAGCCCTCATAGACAGCGGGGCGACTAGGAGCTATATTAGTCGTAAAGCGCTGAGGAAGTTGAAGTTGAACCTAAAGGTCCAACGACTAGAAGAACCTGTGGTCAGCATCCTCGCAGACAATAGTAGGATGCGCGTCGACGAGTATGTTGAGGGGGTTCACGCCTACTTTCGCCTGGAGAAAGATGGCAAGGTAGAGAAGGTACTGCACTCCCTGACCCTCCTTGTAGAAGAGAGTCTCCCGTTTGACATAGTTTTAGGCACAAATTGGGGAGAGGCAGCAGGAGCCACACTTCACCTCAGAGAGCATGACTGTACGCTCCCTAGTGCGTCAGGCGAAGTCAAGAAAGTCCGCCTGTTCCATGAGTCCGGGGTAGATAATTCCCTTGCCCATTGCTGCCTCAGCGCTCCTGCATTCGCCAGGCTTGTGCGAAAGTAGCAGCTTGAAGAGCAGGTGTTCGTGGCCTATGTTAGGCCAGTGTCCGATCAGCCTAAGGAGGAAGAAAAGATCCATCCTGCTATTGCCAGTCTGCTGGAAGAATATAAGGATCTATATGAACCACCTTCAGGGGTAATGCCCAAACCGATCCAGCACCGAATAGAAATAGAACCTGGCAGTATAACGCCAAAGGGGGCAGTCTCCCAAAGAGTTAGAGGAGCTACACAAACAGGTAGATGAACTCCTAGAAAAAGGATGGATCCGGCCTAGTTCATCGCCGTTCGGTGCACCTGTTCTGTTTGTCCCAAAGAAGTAGGGAGAGTTGCGCATGTGTATTGACTACAGGGGACTGAACGCCATCACGATTAAGAATGTAGAGCCATTACCGCGTATAGATGATTTGCTAGATCGAGTTCAGGGGTGCAGATATTTCTCGAAGATAGATCTAAAATCAGGGTACCATCAGATAGAGGTCCACCCTGACGATCAGTATAAGACGGCGTTTAGGACAAGGTATGGGCATTACGAGTTCATAGTGATGCCATTTGGACTTACTAATGCACCCGCAACATTTCAGCGCTGTATGAACGACTTGTTTAGACCTTGGCTAGATAGGTTCGTCGTAGTTTACCTAGACGATATCCTAGTGTTCAGCAAGACCCTCGAGGAACATGAGGGCCATCTACGGCAGATTCTAAGCAAGCTCAGAGAGTCTAACTTTAAGATTAACCCGAAGAAGTGCGAATGGGCCAAGACACAGGTCCTTTACCTAGGCCATGTACTAGACGGCGATGGCATTCGGCCTGAGGACAACAAGATAGCATCCATCAGAGATTGGTCAACTCCTAAGACACTAACAGAGTTGCGTTCTTTCTTAGGACTGGATAACTACTACAGGAAGTTCGTGAGGAACTTCTCTACGATCGCTGCTCACCTTCGTAGACTATTGAAGAAAGAAGCTATCTGGAAGTGGGATCAGGATTGTACGTTAGCCTTCAAGAAATTGAAGAAGGCTTTGATAGAGTACCCTGTTCTCAAAGTTGCCGATCCATCATTCCCATTTGTTGTTACTACAAACGCGAGTCAGTATGGCATAGGTGCCGTTCTACAGCAAGATGACGGCAACGGGTATAGGCCCGTAGAGTTCATGTCAGCCAGGCTGCCTTCAGAGAAAGTCGCCGCATCGACATACGAGAGAGAACTCTACGCTCTCAGGCAGGCTCTAGAGCACTGGAAACACTACCTGCTTGGGAGGCACTTCAAGGTTTATTCAGACCACGAGACTCTTAGATGGCTAAAGACACAGGTCAAGATGACGCCCAAGTTGACCAGATGGGCTGCTGAGATAGACCAGTATGACTTTGAGTTAAAACCCGTTAAAGGCAAGTACAACGTGGTAGCTG